GCCCCAACCTGCTACTGCCACCACCACTATTGTCACATAGCGGGGCTGGGGCTGGAGTTACTATATGCTCCATTCCCCGGGGCTGCAACAGGCAGTAAGCCATGCGGGAGGGGACAGAGATTGCAGGGAGCAGGCACCAGGAGACGGGGCAGGAGGTGCAGGCACCACAGGGGAAGACACCAAGGGAGGTCATCTTAAATTTGAAGTTGCTTTGGATTTGGGTAGAGAGTACATTTAAATTCTGCCCGATTCAGTGAGCACGGGCCTTGCTCAAGTTCCAACCAGGGCTTGAAATGCATCTCCCCCTTTTCCTGAAGGGTTAGGATGCCAGGCCACAGAATTCCTCTTACCAATTCCTCCCATCAGATCAGAGGTTTGGGTTCAGATCATGCTCTCCTGACTTGGGTGGGAGTAACTTGGATTTCCACTGGGGGTTTGCTCAATTAAAGACTTCCAGCCCAATGGATCCTGAAGATCTATTGCTCAAACAACCCTGCATTTCAATCTCTGAGGAGGAAACGGCAGGTTAGAAACTGCCAGCTAAACTCCATTCAGGTGAAGTTCTACTCCTGTGTACTAGACAAGCACAGAGCCTTGAGTTCACTCAGTTATAGGCCTTTTGTTGGCTTTACCAAATGTGACAGTTATACTGAACTCTTTTTTTTTTTTTTAAGCTTAAAGATAGCATATCTACCCATTCAAGGTATTTCTGCAGCACTCATTCCCATAGTGTCTAAACTCCAAGTGGTCTTGTGCTCAAGGTTCATTTGCAAGAAGTGTACCAACTTGGAAACAACAAATCAACCAACTCCAAGGTTCACATCGTTTGAACATTTATTGCAATTCAGTGTCAAAAACATTTTACAAAAATACATCACTGTTTGCATGAAACAGCTGTAAAAAAAAATCAGAGTTGAACATGCAAGGAGAGAGTGTGTGCAAATAATTTATATGAAAGGATTTAAAAGTCACACAATATTAAATAGAAGTCTTAATACACAAGGTATGCTGTTCAGTTCATACCTTCTCTAGTTACAGTTCTTAAGAAAAACAAGCTCTTTTCATATATAAATCAGGTATTTATTATTACTGTTGACTAGCTCCTAAAAATTAAATTCACTTGCTTTTCTTCAAATTAAAGCGTTAACTCCAGAGCTGACCTGTTGGCACTGTGGACAGCAAGTAATGGCTAAAGAGAGAGATAATCTTTACCTTCAGTCACAGCAATGGGGTCACCTAAATGAAAGCACAGTTTGGCCCGCAAAAGGCCAAAGCAGGGTGGGGACAGGGAATGACTTGAGTCGGCATCGTGCGACACCTTTGGAAATTGCATGTGTCAAGGACAGGACTAGCATGCTCTCTTTTTGGGGCCAGATTCTGCAAAGCCTTAGGTGATCCAGGGCAATGCTGGACTACTGGCAGTGAAGGGACAGAGTATATTAAGATTGAGCTCCATTATGAAAAATTCTTCTCATCTGCAGATGCAGTAAGGGAGCCAGTTCACTAAACACTGGCAGTAGCATGGATGCCAGTCAAATATTTGTCACATGCTCAGGAGTTTTGAAAGAACCATAACAAGTATTAAAGATTTACAAGCAGCTAGCATGTCAAGACACATTAGTTTGACTGAACAAGGAGAACTTCAGAGTACCGAATCTTGTAACAGGGGCATTTAGATTGATTAGCCATCACATCCACAGCAGTGTTTTTGCCAATAAGCCAGCTAGCAAGAGTAGCACTTTAAATCTACAAGGTTTGTGTTTTTCTTGGCAAGGTGCTGATCTGTGAAAGAAGCTGTATACCAGGCTACTAAGAATCTCCTAAAGAACACTGATTGTTTATCATCCTGAACAGAAAATCTGATGCATGAATCATGTAAAAATTTATTAAGTAATGTACTGCTTTTGAAATGTTCCTGGTCTATTTCAGTGGTAACTAGTATTGGCCAAAATATTTGCTGGGCAGGAAGAGCTGGTTTACTACCTGCGTATGTTCTAGAAGCAGTTAGCTTTGTAAGAGTAATTAAAGCCAAACAGCAATGGGAACACAAACTTTAGTCACTACAGAAGTTGAAAAAAAAATTGAGGACTAAAGATCTTCTTATGTACAGAAAGTGGTATGGTGCAATTAAACATATGAAGCACATCTACAGTACAAGCTTTCCTACAGGACTTTACAAAACAGAAGTATCTTAAAAAAAAAAGGTAACACAAGTTAAAAAACCCAATATAAGAGGAGGTGCACACAGTTTATAATCAACATTAAAAAGATACCATACTTTGCATAAGCTGCTCAAGTTATGTACAACTGAAATCCTGCCTCTTGAAGTGGCTGTCATTAAAACTCACTCAAATATGTGCCTCTTGTAGGAAGCTGAAAAACAAAGTCTACTCTTCCTTCCTAAGCCCCCTCTGCTGTGCAAGACTATTTTAAATTGCTGTACAGAGCCACATTCTGCTCAGCTGCACTGGTAAATACAGAGTCATTCCATTGTCTTCAGTGGAATCTCTCTGGATTTATGCTGGCTAACAAACCTGTGCTGTTTTTTGTAGTGTTGAAATGGAGGCATTCCTAACAGGAACCTTCCACAAAATGTACCAAAATGATTTTTTTGTTTGTGCAGAGAACATTACTACTACTATTGTATTTTCCAAAACACAGATAAAAGCCCGTTTTCTTTTCCCGCTAACTTTGCCAGAATCATTTTGAAAATAAGAAGGTCTCTGTGCAAAGGCAGCCGTATAGCAATCTGCTCACCCAGGGTTCGGTTTTCACTATCCTGCCTCCCCAAGCCAAGCAGATGTATTAGCAGTGTAGATAAGCTGCTTGAATAGATCGGTGCCTTTGTAAATGGTCAGAAAAGCCAAGATACCTTTTTTTTTTTTTTAAAAAAAAAAAAAGCTTGGTTTGTTGCAACCTCATCACTTGCAAAAAAAAAAACAAAACAAAAATCAACATCATGTTTAAGAACTATTGTGACAGCTGTAAGAATCTCTGCAGCATGCTAAAGATTCGGATGTAAGGGTGCTGCATTGTTAGATTTAATTATTTAATTCAGCATCATTCACTTGCGCATCTCAGTTAAAAGACGGAGGCTTTGTTGGAACCAGAACTGCTGTCTGAGACTGATTCCAGTTCTATTTCTTTCTCTAGCAGAGCCATTTAATAGATTACATTCCTTAATATTTTGTATTATGTTTGCTTTCATGCTCTAAGCCTCCGTCTTGGAGGCTTTACATTGGGTAGCTATATAGGTAGTCTTGAAACAAATGTCACTCTGTGAACTAGTGTAATAGTTAAGAAAGGGCCCTAGGATAAATGCCCGTGTAATGCTTTGAGATCAGGACTGTACTTAGACTGGTTAATGAGCATGTACTAAGCAGTAGGGCACTGTGAGGTGTGGGGCCAGGGTTATCTTCCCTTAAGAAATCAGGAGGAGAGGCAAAGAGTAGGCAATCTGCCTGAAAGGAAACAGTAGGAGAGCCAGGACTAGAGCACTAGAGCTCAGAAGATGCGAAGTCACGGCTCTAAACCCACACTGTAGCCCTCTAATGCTAGTAGAACAGGAAACAGGACCAGAATTCAAACCCTGAGGTTAACTCTGACACTGAGTGAATTTAACAAAGGAGAAAGAGACTTTAATAAGAAAAAAACTTGAATGGAAAGATTTGTTTTTAGCCTGAAACACCCATTGCTTGGGAAGTCACATTTACTTCCCCATCACAGGCTGGTTTACTGGGAGTAGGCAAAGTCCTGTAGTGGGATTGGAGGAGTGGGGAAGAAACAGACCTTCAAAACAGAAGGTTACTGAAGTACTTTTAGCTGCTAGAGAAAGGAATAAAGGACCTGCAAACACAATGGCAGCACTTCATTTACTTTCAAGTTCTTGCTCTTAACACTTCCACCAAGCCAAATCCTGGCCTCATTTATACCTGGGCAACCTCACTGATGTCACAGGTGGCTGAACAGGCATGAATGAGAGAAGGTGGCCTCTGTTACCTTCCTTACTTGTGACACTAACACCCACAATCAGAGATTCATTTCTCCAGGGTAACCAGCTTGTCACCACTTTCAATTGACATAAATATTAAGTCATAATTACTCCTTTCACCAGTGTTTGATGGAGGGCATGGACAGGAGGAGAAAAGGACTGGAACGAATTCCCCAACTTGGACACTTTTTAACCCTTCTCTGGATAATGCTGAGCTCTGCCAGGGAGGATTCGCACCCTGGCTCTTAGAAGTTTCTGTAAGAACAAAACTTTTTGCCTTTGGAATGAAGCAAAATACCCATTCTCCTCAAAACCAGCATCTCCCTTTATCAGGGCTTTAGTACCTATTCCTTATACTCAATTCAAATCACTGGACCTCTTTTTCTTTTCCACATCTTCTCCAAGAGTGAGCAAAAATTGATTCAGTTTGCAAAAACGCAAATATATATTAAACAGCTGCTGCAGAAAGTGTTATAGATAATTTATTTTAAAAAAATGTAAAAAAAAGGAACAGAATATTTAACTAACTCAAGTAGTTCTTCCTGAATTGTCCTGAGTACTCCTCTCTCACACTTCCTTTGTACATACCATTCAACTTACAACGTTTGCCTTTCTGTTGTGCTTTGCTTACAAAAGAGAAAGTGCCGTATGTGAACTCTGCTATGGAACTGCAAAGATTTTTCTATGTGTTTTTTTCCTCCAAAACCTTTTGTACATAAACTGGATTCTGCCAGATTCACATGAGGTCAAAATCCACAAGTTTATGAATACCAAGAACCAAACCTAGGTCATGCTGAAATCAGCTGAACTTGAAATAGGACCAAGGTTTGGTTTGAGGCCTAGATACAATGTGAAGCACTCTGGCACTGGCAGGGAAATAGGCAAGGTAAGTCTTTTCCATTTCTATGGGATGCCAGTTAGGAAGTCAGAAATCCCCTACTCACCCTCAGGACTGGTTGCATCCTTGTTATAGTAGGAGTTCACAGCTGGATTTCCACAATACTTCTGCTGTTACATCAAATATAAAACTAACAGCATTCAAGATAACCATCATGGACCAGATCCTCAGGGAATGTAGTTTGGTACAATTCCATTGGCTTCCATGGAGTTTTGCTTCTCCAAGTTGCACCAGTTTTCAGGGCGTTAGATTCCTTTGAGGATGAAATTCCACTTGACTTTAATTGGGAGCATGTGGTACATTATATGTAATGTAGTGTATATTGATAGTAACAACACAAAAAACCAAACCAGGGGCCAACAAACCACATCCTAATCTCTCAGATCAGTGTAAACTCAGCATAATTCCATGGAAAAAAATCAGAAATTATTGTCAACTATTTACACTGTAAGAGGTTAGATCTGGTCCCTTCAAATCCATCACATTCCCTTGTTAAATATAACCATACCCTGGTGTGTTTTTTTTTGCTTAAATCTTAAAACAAATTCAAAAGAGGATGGAGTAAAATCTTAGGTATTTCTAAGGTGCCTATTGTCTAGGCAATCAAGCACTGCGTAGAGCAAGAAAACCAATGAAAAATGTAAGCATTAAAATGTGAAGGAAAAATGCTTACTCACAAAACATCAGTTCCCTTTAAATCAAAATACAAAATACAAAAGTTCACATTGCACACTGGATTTTTGCTGAAAGATATTCTTCCTCAGAGGTAGAAAATGGTGTGGTGTGTGATTTTTGTTTTTAAGTAGGATAAAGTCCTATACATGATATATATTTCAGAATGGATCCAATTTTTTTTTAATCTCACACAAATGTTATTAAAACTTGTCAGAGGGATGTTTTTCCCCATAAATATTTTAAAGTCATATTTATAAATATCTGTTGTAAATAACAACCAGATGGAGGAACAGTTCAACAGTCCTCAACTCATATTGCTTCCTTTTCAATTATTAGAACCTGAAAAAAAAATATGTTCAAATGGCCAGAAGTGGAGGGGAAAATTCAGTTTTAACTTCTAAAACTGAGACAAGTTTGTCCTGTATCTTGTACTCTGATCAAGAAAAGGAACTTTTTACAACATGCTGCTTTCCACACCAGTCTTGTTTGGAGTCTCTTACTACTTAAATAGAGTGTCAGCGAGCAATTTCACCTCTTGTCTTCAAATTCCTCTTCTCATTTGCCTCAGGAGCTTCAAACCATCACAGACATTTACACTATTTACAAGTTGAGTGTCCAAGCTCAGCAGCATAAAGTGTCCTCTAAAAGAATCTAGTATGCTGTGAAGACCCCGGATTCAGAACCTGAACAAGTTGATAAAGTCTTGTGGTGAAAGTGAAATGGAGCAGCTCTCTGGGTTATTGGCTGTGCAAGGATGATCTGTACCCTGAAAAGGAAAGAAAAAAGAAACACTGTTTAGAGAGGCAATGGAATGAATGTCACAACTCAGACTGGTCTAGCACCATTCCTTGTGCCATATGCTGCACATCCAGTTTGCACGCATGAGCTAGACAGCAAAATCAGGGTTACTTATGTTCTCACCCAAAGCATAAGTCAAAGCTCAGATTTAGACTTTAGGGACAGGTAAATATTTGAGGGAGACAGGGCAAGGATCCAAATTCACTCTGAGGCTCTAAATGCTCGATTCTGTTGTCATTGCATTTAAACTGGCATACAATTCTTTGAAGGCTGGAAAACAGCCAGCAGAATGTGTCCCCAAGGTTCAATAAGGGCACATCTACATGTGCATCTAAGTGTGACTAAATATAATGTGCATTAAGCTAATGTACATTAGCTTAACGCATTTTTGGCAGGTGTCTACATGTGCAGAAACTTGGCACTAAGTTAGTGCCAAGTCTCTGAGCTTTGCCATATACCTCTAGTGGCTGGGCACATGGAGTTGTGTTTACATGTGCATTAATGTGCTTTAACTAACTGCGCCTAAATTTGATACCTGCAAATGATACCTGCAGGTATCAAATTTAGGTGTGATTAGCCTAATTTCACCATTTTAAATGTGCATTAAGGCCATGCACATGTAGATGCACACCCATAATGCGCATTCAGTTTGGCTAATGTGCATTAATGCATCTTGTGTAGACAGGCCCCAAATGCCTCAAATTGACTGAGTTATACCCAGCCGTCTTCCCTCATCACAGGGAGACACTAATCCTCAAGGCCGTGAATGGGACTTGCTCTCTCTCTATGAAGAGAGGACGGGGTCCTTGTGGGGTAACAAATGCAGAAAGACACCTTCTGGAATAGCAAGAGCTTTAAGCTATGTGGGCCTGACTTTCAGAGATGCTATATACCTGCATTTTCCACTAAGACTTCAGAGAAAACAGACCCTTTATACGTACCTTCCAGGAGAGAATGTGACAGTGTCTGCAGAGCTGCAGTGTGTCTCCATATTGCTCTCTCTTTGGGTAACACCTTATAAGTTTGAAGTACATCTTCTTCCAATCTAACTGCCCCTTATCTGATAAAATAAGCCGTTTGCGAATCTAAAACAGAATGAGAGTAGACTGAGTGCACACTAGTATTTGCTTGTTTTGAAGAGTGATCTTGCAAAGAATTCTCTCCATACTCTAAAGTAGTGGCTCTCAAGGTTTTTAGACTTAAGGTAACCCTGGATAGACTTGAGACACCCGTTGGAAAGTGCCTGCTCAGTTTTCACTGTTTTTTTGCCTACAGGGAAAAAAGTAAAAATCGAGTAGTTTGTTGCAAAGAACTCAAACACCACAGCTATGGACTGATATTTGAAGTGTCTGGGTTTATTTGTGAATCAGGTTTATAAACCTAACTGAGCTAATAGTGTGTGGCACCCCACAGCACCCCTGAAAGGATCTCAAGGCACCCTAGAGTGCTATGGCATCCTGGTTGAAAATTACTACTCTAGAGTAACTAGTTGGCAGCCCAAAACCTTCATTCACAAAACAGCCACAGCATGTGCAATAGGAAGGGTAACATCCTGGCCCTTTCTTGGGGATGACGAACCACCTCAGCCAGCAAGCATTTTCTCTTTAAAAGGGCAAAATACTAGTCATTCCTCATGGACTACTCAATCCTTGTCCATTCTATGGAGATGGTCCACAAGGATGCCAACTGCTGTGACTGCTAAGGTTAGATGAAGAAAGAATTCTCTCCAATATAGTACAAGCAATGACAACTCTTGGTCATTACCATCTTGGATTACCTTCGTTAGCAGCCAACATGGAAAAGATTGGCCCATATTGTTAAGAGGCCTTCCATTTCAGGGATCAGTACTGGGGCATTTCCAACGCTATCAAGCTTCCAACAGAAAAGCTTTTTGGCCTTAACATGCCAGTCAGTATTAGAAACTTGTGGTATAAGCTTTAGATCCAAGTAATGCTCAATATTAGGAAGGTCCTTTATGTTCACTCACAAATATACAGACTGCAATAGGTCACTGATCTAGCGGTAACTTCTTTCCTATTACCTGTCGGTCTGTGAAGTGGTACTGGCAGAGTTTCTTCCATAGCAGTCGGTCTTCACTGAGCACCTGCAGCTCAGGGGCAACTTGACCAAGGCTGACTAGGTCTCTCCCATCAGTTAGCCGCTGCATGATATTTAATTGTAAACACAATGGCAGGTCGGTAAAGGTTGTTCCTTTAAAGGCAGGCTGGAAAAAAACAAGTAAAAATGATACAAGATGAACTAAACCAAATATAGCTATATTATTACTTGCTAAATATTTTATATACACATGATTCAGCAGTGTTGGATGATTTCCCATCTGTGGGAAGAGACCAGTTTCCTTGGGAGATCTTCTCATAGGCTACAGTTTTTTTGAGCCACTACTTCCAGGGAAAGAGTATTACTAGGGGTCTACCAAATTTGAGGAGACTGCCAGCTGATTTTGCAGGCAGATCCTAGGGCTGGCCGCCATTTACATGGGCTGAGCAAGACAACGCCCCCCAACCCCTCCGATTGGCCAACGGCCCCCAGTAGTCCCACCCCTCACTGCAGATTGCCACATGGCCCAAAACCACAACTTAATTACTGCAATTAAGCCTGGGGAAGCCATTAATCTGCATGTTATTAAGCACAGCAGGGCTGCTTGCAGCAGGAGGTGTGGAAGCTGCAAGCAGCTACTGCCTGCTGCATCCAGGCCTCCTGCTGCGAGTAGCCTTGCGCTGCCCTGGCCCTCTTCCTCCCTGCTCCCTCCCCCGCCCCCATACTCCAAGACTGCAAGGTTCCTGCCCTTTTCTCTGCTTGTTGGTAATTTTTTTTCCTGCAAGCCTGCCAAATCATGGAGCCTGCCATTTTTCGTGCAGTCCACCCAAATTCAAGATTTCCACAAAAATCATGCAAACTGCAGATTTGGTAGGTCCAACCAGAACTGGAACTGGGTCTCTAGTGTCCAAGAGGCTGTACAAATATAGAAGGAAGACCAAAACAAACACTACCACTGTTTACTGTAGTAGAACAGGATCCATGTTGATCTCCCAAGCATTAACTGCACAATTAACGCCCCTCATCACTGGTGCATAGTGGACATACTGGTCCCCAAAAGACATTTTAGCATTTCAAGTGTGGGAGTGAGGGGCACTGGGTTGGGGCTGGCAGTTGATGTTTACAAATGGGTCCTGGTACAAAAAAAGGTTGAGAACCACTGCAATAGAAAACATCTTACCAAGAAGGAAAAAAAATTCAACACCCAGCTTGCCAGACAGCCTGGGAGGTAAACAGACTGGTTGAACTTTTATTTCAGCCTAATTTTCATAAAATGAACTTTTCCACCCAGAGGAACCTATAATATCTTTTTATTCCCCTTTGCAATATGAAGTTGCATTTCTACTTGGGAGAAATGCTACAAATCTGTGCACTCTCCTTTGCCTGAGGAAGGGCGAGTGAGCCCAAAAGCTTGCAAGTAAAGAACATTTTTTACAACTATTTAGTTGGTCTAATAAAAGATACCGCCTCTGCCAACAGTTCTGCATATTTTTTGCTTGTAGAACAACATGGCTAAAGCCTCTATCCCTGGAGTCCTCAGATTAATTCAGTCCATCCAGGTTGGATGCTGTATGTCAAACTAAGGCTTTGTTTTTTAAGGTCATAAGAACTTAGGTGAACCACAGCAGTTCATGGGTAATGGTAGAAAGCAGGATTTCCCTGCCATTGTTGCTTGGGATATTGTTAGCAATTACTGAGGAACATTCTTTTTAAGTTTTCTTTCCTACAGAAGATACTTCTATAGATCTAGTCTGGGTCATATATTTGTCCACAAGTATGCCAGTGTTAAACTGCAAAAAAAAATAAAAATCAGTATTTATGCTCATGCACTAAACCCTGAGGCTCCATCAGAACGCACTGTAGTTTTGTTGGATTAACATCAGTGCAGCTACACTGCTTGGACCTTGGTCCATGCAGGGGACTTTTTCCCACGTTCAACAATCTGTATCTAGGCAGCAGTGACAAAACCAGAATATGGGCTCCAATTGCTACATGAAATAGCAAACTATTATTTAGGCGAGTTAAAGTTTGAAGGTTTGGGCTCCCCTGGTAAAGTGACAAATAAGCACTTTAAACAAGTGTCCCAAGTCATCAACTACCCTGCACAGAGATGCCTCTATTTTAAGTTGTGGCATCACATCACCCTCTTTGCAATTGGCATAGCAATTAATTGTTTAAAACCAAAACACACAAATTGCTGATCAGATGATGGAAGTTGCGTGGCACTATTTTTACTCCGATGACCCTGTCTCCATCAGCTGGATGACGTCAGAGATTTCAAGGGCATAATAAGTGTGTTTATAACAAACAGTTCCTACCTTTCCATCTGCAGGCAACAAAACTATTTATTACTAGTCCAGAACAGAAGCCCACGTACTCTGCAGCACCACAGCAGTGAAACAGGCCGCACAGTCCATCCACCCTTTAGCCAAGTGCTTATCTTTTAGAAAAACAATAATTTTCTAGCACTGAGAATTACCAACAGCATCACAAACAGATATAGTGATGACTGCCAATCAACAGCAGCCCCAAAGGACCCCATTGTTCCATTCTTCTTAACACACTATTAACATAAATGTCATCTGGTTAACTATTTTGATACTGATCCTTTCGGAAGAAACATTTAACTAATTCTATCCAAATTCCATTATCAACCTTGTCTCCTGTTCTGTTTCCCACTGCAATAGCCTCCATGTTCTTGGTGCAAAACCCCTTCAGCAAGCAAAAGATTCAGATGCAAGAGTTCTGCATAATTAAATGAAACAATTTAAATTCAGTATAATTTATTTGTTTGTGTCAATCAAGAAATGGAGGCTTCACTGGAACACCCCCACCCTGCAACAGATCTGCCTGCTGTACCGGGACATCACAGGATCCCTGCCCTCACTCCACAATTCAAGTCAAGTTTCCTGCAGAAGATGCAGGACTGGTTATAGCCTCATGTCCAAAGAGCACTAGACTGCAATACTGCTGAGCAGAAAGCCTATTTAAATAAATGAGGGTTTTATCCAAGTGAAGCACACTGGCCTGGCCTCCTAGTTCAGCTCAGCTATTACATACATACTGATGTCTTGTTACTGAAGAAGTTAGTGAGACTAAAGCACATGCTTGAGGGCTCTGCTGAAAAAAAAAAA